ATCATAACTATTTATTTGAGAATAAAGGGAAACCCAGCACATTTAATTGTGTTCATACAAAACCTATACCTAGACCAAGAAGCTGTCGTTTTAACAATGTAAGGGAACAGTTGGTTTAAAATTAAGAGAAAGATCTATATTTCTGCAAAATATATATTCAGTCTCTGTAACAGGCTAAGCAAATTATTTGAGAAGCTGAAATCTATGAAAAAGATGTGAAATCAGCATCAGAGGAAGATTCTTCGACAGCCTGTATTATGCAGATGACATAACCTTGAATGCTGAATGTCAGATGACCTTGAAGCACATGGTGCTGAAGATTAAAAACTACAGCTTTCAGTATTTTAATGTGAAAAAAAAACAACCAGAAAATCTCACCACTGGACCAATAGACATCATGATGATAGATGGAGAAAAGATTGAAATTATCACCTTCATCTTTCTTGGGTCCATATTGAACACCCTTGGCACCAGCAGTCAGGAGATCAGGAGATGTATTTGGAAAGGCAGTAGTTAAAGACCTCTCTGAACTACTGAAAAGCAATGAGGTCAATTTGAAGACTCAGGTAAACCTGATTCAGCCATAATCTTTTCAATCCCCTGTTATGCATTTGAGAGCTGGACAGTGAATAAAGATGAATAAAGTGAATAAAAATTATTTTCTTTTACCTGTGGCTGTGGTGTTGGAGAAAAGTATGGAGTAGCCCATGAACTGTCAAAAGAACAAACATGTTGTAGAGAAAGGATAGCGAGAGTGCTTCTTGGAGATAAAGATGACAAAGCTTTACCTTACATACTTTGGGCATATTGCTAGGATGGGCTGTTTCATGGAGAGGGCTGTCATGTTTGGAAAGTAGATGATTGGCAAAAGAGAGAGGAAGACCTGAAACCAGAGTGACACAGTGACTAGAGCAATGAGCTCAAGTGTATCAGATATGATGAGGATGGCACAAGATACAACAGGGTTCAGATCTGTTCTTCGTAGAGTCACTAGGAGTTGTACTCAACTTGACGGCACCTGACAATAACAACAAACTATTGAGGCAAACACTTTTTAGATTCTAGAGTAGCAGGGTTTGTCATTGCTCTTGTCTTGCATATGGTAAATGGGAATCTTATGGGAAATTTTCTGTAACCAACTATCTGGAAAATAAAAACCAAATAATATTAATAGCCTTTGCATGCTAGCTCACCCATTGAAAACTGATTTGCAAACAGCTGGAACTAGACTGGGACAAATGTAACAATTATACTGAGTCAGAATGTTCCTTAGAGACAAGGGAAACAAGACTATTTTACTTATCAAATCTTTGGAGAAGGACATCATACATGGTAAAGTCAAAAGTCAACAAAAAGGGAGAACTCAATGAGATGAATTGACATATGGCTTCAAATACGAGCTCAAATCAATGACTGTAAGGATTATTTGGGACAAGGCAGCATTTTGTTCTAATTTATATAGGACAAAAGTCACTGTGATTCAGTAGTTACTCAATAGTGCTTAACAATACCAAGAGCAGCAGCAAATAGCCTGCATTTGTATCTGTGTGTATATGTGTGTGATGTTGCTGTTATGTGCCATTGAATTGCTGGCAACTCCTAGCAACCCTATATGCACAATAGCTCTGACTCTGTCCTGTCCTGAGCCAACCTCACAGTCTCTGACACACCTTTCTAGATATAAAAGGAATGGAGGATAAAAATAGGGTTATATCATATTCACTGCATCCTGCAATCTTCTGGAGAATGACCAATAAAATGCAAAATAACTGATTTTTTTTTAGTTCATCTCACTTAAGGGAAGCCTGGTGGTCTAGTGGTAAGGAGTTGTGCTGCCAACTCATAGGCAAGTGCTTCAAATTCACCAGCTGCTCTGTGGGAGACATATAAGACGTATTCTTCCATAAGGCTTTTTACCCTCTGAAAACCAGCTGGAGGGGTGGCTATAAGTCTTATCTGACTCCATGGCATATAACAGCAATAACTTAAAACTGTCACTCTCATTGCCTTTGAGTTAGAACCAAGTCATAAGTGACCTTCCAGTGAGTTTTCAGAGACAGTATATTGCATGAGAGGAGAATGCCCATCTTTCTCCTGTGGAACAGCTGATCCAAGCTACCTTTAGGTTGACTAGGCTGCCAGATCCTTAACATAAGCAGAATTTTTAGTCTCTGGGCTTTTTAAAAAGAATCTGGCTATAGCATAACTTCTTCCTTCTTGGGATGTACTCTGAAGTCTACAATGACTCATAGCAACCTTACAACAACAGAGTGCATCCCTGCCCTCTCCTGGGCCAGCCTCACAATCTCAGAAATGCTCCAGCCCATTGCTACAGTCCTTGTTGTTGTTGTTGTTATGTGCCATCGAGTCGCTTGCGACTCATAGTGACCCTATGTACAACAGCCCTAAACTCTGTCCTGTGCCAGTCGTCCTGTCTCTGACACTCCCATCCCCATTACCCCAGTCACTGAATCAATCTACCTCATACAGAGCCTTCCTCTCCTGCTCTGTCCCTCCACCCTCCCAAGCATGATGTCCCTCTCCAAGGACCGGTCTCTCCTTACAACATGTTCAACTTATGTTAGACGGAGCCTCAGAATCCTTGCCTCCAAGGAGCCACCCGGTTTAACCCTTAGTGTCTTAATTATAATTTTATGTTAGCCTGACGTTTACCCTCTGCAAATATAATATTGATGGAATTATTTTTTTGTCCATGATCAGGATTGCAACAATTGCCATTTTTTAGTATGTATTAAAGGTGTAATATAAGTTTCATTACTAACTTCTACACTATTTAATCTATTATTTTGCTATCATTAAAGTAGTTGTAAGTATTCTCAAAATGCATCAATTTGTGCATTTTTTTTATCACGCACAGTAAACATGGATGGTGTAACATTTTCATTATGACACTAATATCTCCATATGCTGTATATATTGTCATCACCCTATGGCATTGGCAAAGGAGAGGACTTCAGTTCCATTTGGCAGCAAACTCTTCCTTCAGTCCAAACTGTTTTAAAATACTTTCTGAGTACACTTAGTTTATCAAGGAAATATTGGCATCAGGATTTATTGTTAGTTAGCAGGAAGAAAAAATAGAAATATTTAAGGTAAGTAAATTGCATAAGTTCGCTTAGAAAATAATTTCTAAGTGGATAATACTGAAGTTTCCTAAGTTAAAATCTAAGATATACTGTATATATTGATCAGGACCTAACTATATCAAAGAGCAAAAAACAAATATTAACCTGGCTGTTTGAGGCAATAGTTGATTTCAGACTAATATTTTAACTTAGAAATTTGCAAGCCAAGCTTTATATATTTATGTTCCTAGGTTTTATCAATTTTGATATTATGTGAATTTACTGGTCCTTATTAGATTGTAATAAAATAAATTGAACTCAAGAGCTTTACATGGTTGTTATAATACAAAGACATTTCCGTTAAAACAAATACCTCCTTTGGTATAAAAGGAACAAGAGAAAGAATTTTAATATTGTAGCTACTTGGAGAGATTAATTTGGGGGAGGAGTGAAACAGGTAAAAAATCATTGCCCTGTCAAAGACCCAATTAGAGGTAGATTATCAAGCTAAATTAATTGATAATTACAGACTGACTTTAACTTACCACTACTTATATATAATTTCCTCTGTAGGGAAATCTCTCTTTGCTCCTAACAAATATTTTCCTCTTTATAGCTTATATTAACATTTGGGTGGATGAGCTGAATCTGAAAGTGGTAAAACTACAATAGTAGACCAAAAATTTGCCCAGTTTATTAAAAAAAAAAATAACAGCAAACTCATTGGTGCTCAGATGGACAATACGGTCACTAAAGTTTAGAAAGATGATACGTTGTTGTTGTTGATTGCCATCGTGCAACTCATAGCAACCCTATGTACAGAAGGCCCTGAAGACTTTCTATAATATCTTCATTACTCCAGGTTCATAGTTTCCAGATGCATGTGGTTCAGAAAGTGGATGCCACTCCTGTTTCCAAAAATTTAGGAGAAAGCACTATTAATTTCTTGTTTTTTTACAAATTCTTAATATTTTTAATACTCTCAAGACTTCAATGGATGGCCAAGAAACTGACATTTCTTTATCTCAAATTTAGAAAAAAGAGTTTCACTTGGATTTTTTTTCTCATATAACACAGTTTCCTAAACCCACTTCTTTTGAAGAACAAAAATATATAACAATGATAAAAATAGATTGAGGGATGGAGGGGAGTAGTCATGATGTATTTTATTCTAACTTTAAATTTTTTACAGAGTGCATGCTATTTCAATGCTTTGTTTATTTTCCACTTGGAATAAGTATCAATTGAAGAAAATGTTTGTGTTATTTTGAATTGTGTAGCCTACCAAAATTATGAGGTTTTATGCATGAGACTTTTTTTATTGAATATGTACGGTGTCATTTTGAAGCTCTGGAGACATATATTTGAGATTCTTGATATTTTATTCTTTTAATCTGTAGAAGTTGCTTTCCTTTGAGTGAGATATTTCACTTAAAAAGACCTCTCACTGCTCAGAAATAACTTTCTCCCCCAACTCTTTGGAGAATTACTGTTGTCTCACTTAATCATCATCATAAAAATGTATTAAATATATAACATTCATATTTCTCGTCTGGTATGCTCCACAAAACAATATATTCCGTTTCTTGACAAATTAAAGTCCATTTGTTATTAATAGAAATATTAAAAGTTGGGTCATATTCATATTTAATGGCTCCTTTATATTTAAAAATTTGAGAAATGAATATTTACAGTTTGAAAAGGTTTTATAATGTTCTCATGCCATAGAGCAAATAGTCTTTTGAATACCTGTGCTTTTGGTTTGCTTTATTTATATGTGAACATGAGATTATTTTGAAACTAAAATGTGTTTGAGACCTCATTAACATTACTATGTTAAATGTGCGAGTGTTGAACTCTCAGTGAAATATGAGAGGTTTCATCCAGTGACATTTTAAATGCATCTCATTGTAGGGGAAGCCAGTGGGAACACCAGATGCTGGGGCTTATTTCCGAGTGCTGGCGGAGCATGGAGTGGCTGCCTTGTTTACAGCGCCTACTGCAATTAGAGCAATCCGTCAACAGGACCCTGGGGCAGCCTTGGGGAAGCAGTACTCTCTGACAAGGTGAACTGGGGATGCACAGAGCAAATTGTATTAAAAACTGCAATCAAAATAAATAACCTAACGTTTTCTTTTTTCCAGTTTTGGGACACATGTATGGTAAGAACAAAAAGATTCTGCGTAGCATGAGAATTGAATGTTCTAAATATATCTTTGTACTAGCTGGAATTCTACTGTACCAAGGGATTTTTTAAAAATACAGTATTTTAGTCTAGTTTTAAAACTTGCCAAAATATTAGTTTTTTAAAAAAACAATGCTGCTGATATTTTTCTAAAAGTTAAACGATGATTATGACTTGAAACATGTTTGAATTGACAGATAGATGGATAGATAAGTAGTATATCCTTTTCCCCCCCCTTAAACAGAACAGCTTAAATACACAGATAAAGCTTATAATTCATAGTCTAAATTACATTTGTTGAATGTGTGCAGGGAATTATTTTCCTTTTGTTTTGTAATAATATGTTTGAACAGTGTGGATATTTTTGCTCTGGTTTATTGACATCCATTTTAGTTTAATGATATGTATAGTGAAAGATAATTATAGCAATTTCTATCTTTAAGGCAGTTTCCAAGCATCAATTCTCATTGAACTTCTTTGAAAAAGGTCACTGTTATCCTAAACTAAAACTGGAAGGTTAGTTGCGTCTACAAGTCAAAAAGTGGGCTTGAATGAAGGCAATTTGAATACTAGAGACTTTGAATTTTTTGTTTCTATGACTGAAAGGTAGAGCAGGATGGTGCAGAATAGAAAGCGATTTTAATCTGTTGTTTTTAAAGTTATTATGAGTTAGAGTCAACTCAACAAAACCTTAAAATCACAGGAATAAGGAGCAAAAAAGTAATGAAAATAAATCAACTGAACTAAAAATTATTTCCATCAAGTAACCCCTTTGTACAACAGGTCTGAAGCCTACCCTATCCTAAGCCGGTCTTACTGACCCTGACACACCTACCCCTATTACTCTAGTTTTCTGTGCCAATCCATCTCATCTGGGATCTGCTTCTCCTGCACTGTCTCTGCACCCTCCTGAACAAGACATCCTTCTCCGAGGACTGGTCCTTCCTGGCCACGTGCCCAAAGAATGTGAGACTGAGCTTCAAAATCCCAGCCTCTGAGGAGAATCTTGGTTTCACCCTCTCCAAGACAAACCTGTTTGTTTTCTTGGAAGACCCTGGTGTGTTTCTCCAGCACCACAACTCAAAGACATCAATGATTCATCTTTGGTACTTAGTCATCATCCAGCTCTCCGATGCATAGCAAATAATAATTGCAAAGACCATGGCCTAATTTAGGCCATGGCACACTTTAGTCTCTAGACTGACATCTTTGACCATAGGTATGTGAGTTGATTTGTGGGTTCCTGATTCCGTTCTACTGGTCTATGTGTCCATTATTGTATTGGTACGATGCATTTGGTTATTACAGCTATGTAGTTGGTTTTGAGATCAGGAAGTGCTATACCTCCCCCTTTGTTCTTGGTTTTCAGAAGTGCTTTGCTTATTTGAAGTCTCTTTCCTTTTCAAATAAGCCTGCCAATTGCTTTTTTTATTCCACTTTGGAAAATAACTTTGGTGACTGTATTTAGATTGCTTTAAATATGTATATTTCTACTGGTAGGATTGTAATTTCCACTGTATTGAGTCTTCCTAACAAGATTTTCTAATTTATTTAGATCTCTTATTATTTCTCACAGTAATGTTTTGTAGTTTTCTTTACAAAGGCTTTTGTGTTTCTAGTTAGGTTTATTCCCAAGTATCTCAATTTGTAGTTGGTGGTAAGGAACTGTTGTAATCCCAAAGGCATGTGGTTCACAACCACCAGCTGCTTCAGGAGAGAATGATGGACAATCTCCTCTCTGTGATTTACTGCCTTTGAGAACCTGCCAGAGGGTCAGCTGTGGGTCAGCTCTGACTTGATGGTACACAACAACAACAACATTGTAAATGCCATTGCTTTCTTAGGCTCCTTATATGTGGTTTCTTTGTTACTCTTATAGAATCCCATTGTAATTTAGTATGTTTCTATAATCTGTGCCTTGGTAGCTTTGATTAGTTTGAAAATTCTTATCTCTTTCAATATTGCTTCCACTTTATTCCTTCTTAAGTTTTTCCACTACGAAGGACATATGTTCATATTTTTACCATGTCACCTGTTCCCTTTATGGTGTTTTTCTTAAATTTTTTAAATTTTATCATTTAACTTTTGCTTTGATTTATTTCCTCTGAAGTGTAGTCTTGCTTGCAGTTAATGAAGAAGATCAAAAGGGAACAGTCAGTATTCAGTATGAATTATACCTATTGTTGTTGTTGTTATGTGCCATCGAGTCACCTGTGACTCAGAGTGACCCTATGTACAATAGCCCTAAAGCTTGCTCTACTCTGTGCCAATTTCATTGTCTCTGACACACCTACTCCATCACCCCAGTCACCGAATCAATCCATCTCATAGAGGATCTCCCTCTCTTGTGCTATTGCTCCACCATCTGAAGCATGGTATCTGTCTCCAAGGACTGATCCTGCCTTGCAGCATCTCCAAAGTATGTCAGATGAAGCTTCAGAATCCTTGTCTCCAAGGAGCAGCCAGGTCTCATAACCTTCCTCAGATGAACTTGTTTGTTCTCCTAGCAGTCCATGATATATTCAATACTCTTATCCAGCACCACAGCTCAAAGGTGTCAGTTCTCCTTCTGTCATCCCTAATCATTGTCCAGCTTTCTGATGCATGGCAAGTGATTGCAAAGACCATGGCCTGGATCAGGTGCAGCTTAGTCTCCAGACTGACATCGTTGCTCTTCGGTACTTCAGAGAGGTCTCTGACAGCTGTCTTTCACAATGCAATTTGTCTTTTAATTTTCTGGCAGCTAGTACCAAGATTGTTGATTGTAGAGTCAAGCAAACGAAAACTGTTAACAATCTCAATTTTCACCATCTATCATGATGCTGCCAATAGGCCTAGTGGTGAGAATCTTTGTTTTCTTGATGTTGAGCTTCAATCCATATTGAAGGTTACAGGCCTTCCCCTTCTGCAGCAAGCACTTCTAGGAAGAAGGACTGGCATCCACTTCTGAAATGGCAGGCCTTCAAAAACCCTACACACGACAGAGCCCACTTAGACTAGCAGATATGGCAACTGAAGCAGAGCCTTCATGTATGGAAACACATAGGAGGATGAACAGCTGTAAGCAGACACTAGTGATTGGAACATGGAATGTGAGAACCATAGATGGAGGAAAATTAGATATTGTTAAAAAAGAAAACACATAAATATTGGCATACTAGGTATTGGAGAAATGAGATGGACTAGCATGGCACATTTTGAATCAGACTACCATATGATCTACGATGTTGGAGATGAAAAAGTAAGGGAAAATTGGGTGGTTTTCATAGGTAAAAAAGTAATTTCTAGATCTGTCTTGAAATACAATGTTGTGAATGACATGATAATATCCATATACATACAAGGATGTCCAGTGAATCATTCAAATATATGCACCAACCCTGAAACCTGTAACCTTAGAAAAAGTACAGCCCCAAAGAGAGGTGGTCTTTTGTCCCGGCTCCCACTGCCTCCCTTTCTGTCTGTTTGTTTCTGCCAGCTCTCTGATCAGATGGGTATCCATTCCTTTCTTCTCCTGAGACAATCCAAAGTATGGTTGACTGTGTAAAGTTGAGCTCTTCTGCATACTAGCTGGGTAAACTCTTTGTGTCATAATTCTTTCTAACCTGTAAAATGCAGCTAACAGTACCTAAATCTGTATTAATTCTGATTAAGGTAGAGTACAATGTGATATATTTATTTTGCAATGTCTTATTATTCTAACCTGTAACAGTATTACAGTCCTACTTTATGTAGTATATGAAGACATACATGTATATTAGTAACTTGGATTTGCTTGAATGAAAATGAAGAAACAAAAAGCAATAACAAAAAACCATCTAAATATATGCATCAACAACCAGAACCAAAAAGGAGGATATAGAAGATTTTTACCAAATGTTGCAATCAGAGATCAATCAAACATGCAATGAAAATGCTTAATAATAATGGGTGACTGAAATGCAAAATTTGGGAACAGAGAAGAAGGATCAGTAGTTGGAAAACATGTACGTGGTGACAGAAATAAATCTGGAGATAGAATTTTGCATAATAAACTATTCATTGCAAATACATTTTATAACAAACATAAGTGAAGGTTATACATATGGATTTCACCTGATAGTATGCATAGGCATCAGATCGATTCCATCTGTAGAATGAATTGCTGGAGAAGCTCAATATTACCTGTGAAAACTAGGCCTGGTGCTGATAGTGGAACAGACCAACTACTCATATGCAAGTTCAAGCTGAAGCTGAGGAAAATTAAATCAAATCCATGGGAACCAAAATTTGACCTTGAGTCTTAATTTTGAATTATATCTAGACATCAAGAAAACAAAAACCCTCACAACTGGATTAATAAGTAGCATCATGCTATAAGAAGAAAAGATCACATTTGTGAAAGATTTAATTTTTCTTGACAGCACAATCAGTATCATTGGAAGCAATAGTCAGAAAATCAAAAGACATGCTGCATTAGGCGAATCTTTTGTTCATGAACTTTCTAAAGTTCTGAAGAATAAAAATAGTAGTTGAAAGACCAAGATATGCTTGCCCCAAGCTAGGGTATTTTTAATTTTTCCATATGCATCTAAAAATTGGATAGTGAATGAAGAAAACAAAGAATTTCTATTTTTTTAAAATGTTTCTATTGTTTAATTGATCGGTTTACAAAATTTGTATACCTTGTGATTCACACTATTCAGAATTCACTTTATGTTTTATACAGTCGTTCACATGCATTATGTTTTATAAAATTAATCACCATTGGATCTTGCCCATCCTTACCCTGTCTTTTCACCTGGCCACCTCCCATTTCATACACCCACCTCCCTCCACCAATCAAATTGTGCGGCCCTGTGGTTTCATCCCTACCCATTTGGAATGGCAATGGTAGATGAA